GTGTACAGACGGGGATATCTTCTCTTTTGTCTTTTTCACCCCCCACCCTGTGGCTGGGTGCAAGCTGCCAGCTGCAGGCAGGGAGGCCGAGCGCCCTCTAGTGCCAACCAGGTGGACTGCCCGGCAAAAGCCAGAGAAGGCTGCTGGAGCCCACAGTGAGAGTCCCTGGGCCCCTTGGGCGCCCTGCGCCCCACACTGACCACTGAGAGGGTCAGCCCTGCCTCCAAGCCAGAAAAGGGCAGTGACCGGAGAGAGGGGCGAAGAGGTCTCCTGGGAAGCCAAGAGGCAAGGACTTCCCCAAACGTGTCAAACAGCAAAAGACCCCACGCTGGAACACACTTTGGGTAGCTGAGCATCTTAAAGACAGATCTGAATGTCCTGGGGGGAAAAAAAGCAGATGGCCTACAAAGGAACAGGTGTCAGGTGTCATCAGAACTCTAGAGAGCAACAACCGGCGTGGGCCAGCCACTGTTCCCGGTCCACCCAGTGTCCATCGTCTGAGTGAGGATGGGTCTGCAGGCCAAAGGCACAGCCTTCAGGTTGAGCTGAAGAAGACCCCGGGTCCTCCCGCCCTCTGGCGGCCACTCCGGGCTCTTATCCCGGTGCTGAGAAGCAGGGACCGCGGAGAAGGACAAAGCGTGCGTGCCCAGGTCTCCTGCCTGTCCTGTCGCATCCTGTCCTCCCCAGACTGGGGTATCACTATTGCCTCCCTAAAGCCTGAGTGGGGCACACAGGGGCACTAGGTCCCCAGCCTGAGCAGCCCTCGCCCCTACCCATGGCTCTCTGTGGAACCACCTTCTACAGGCAGGCCTCCGAGATTTACCCTCCTGGGCCCTCCTCCTTCCTCTGCCTCTCACGTGAATCTTAGGCACTCAGGCACCCTGATTCTCCTACTGGAGACCCGGCCTCCTAGGCCGACTGAGGTTCAAGGGTCTATTGCTCCCAGGGGCTTCCGGCCCCGGTGGCCTTTCCTTACCCTGCCGAGGTCTGTGTGTTGGGTGCTTCTGGGTTGGCAGGGCGCACGCCCGGGGGAGGCGACTTACGTGCTGGATCAGCGTCTCCACAATCTTGTAGCGATCGGGCATGTGGGTCACCATGTCCGTCATGTTGTCCTCAGATGTCCTCACCAGCGTAGGCCCGAAGACCAGGGCCAGGTTCCGGGGCTCCATCTGCACCAAGAAGAGGGACAGGTCGGGTCCAGAGCCCTGTGCACCTGCTGGCCATCCCTCACGCCCTGGTCACTGACTGCACTGAGCTGTCACCCGGTTGGGGGCCAGACGCCTGTGCCCGGCAAGTAAAGCGTGGGCCAGATTCTGCATGTTGGGACAGCTCTGGGAGGCCCTGGGGTGGGGGCTGGCCTGAGGGTCCCCGCGGGAAGCAAGCCTACAACTTTCCCCGGCCGCAGAGCCCAAAGACACAAAGCATTCCATTAGGAAATACACGGCAAGGGGTTTGAGCCAGATCAGAGCATGGCCTTCCACCAGCTCCAGGAAACAGAGCAGAGGGCTCTCTGGGCAGAAGGTCCGCCGGGCACCCACCTTGTTCTTCTCCGAGTGGTCAGCGATGGTCTTCAGGTGGCCCACGAGGAACTTGAGGGTCTCATAGTAGTGTCCTGGGAGGTCTCGGATCTGGGGGCGAGAGGAGGGTTTGGGGACCAGGCTGTGATGCTCTTCCCCTGCTGCACAGGGGCTCCCTGGAGTCCTCCCTCAGCCCCCTCTTGGGGAGACGGGAAACCGAGACCCAGGGTGGACCAGGACCTAGGCACTGGGCCAACCCACTGGTGCCTTCTGGCTTCCTGCGTCTCGAGAGCCTCACCAGCTTCCGCAGCGTCTTCATCCGCTCTCTCGAGTCCTCAATGCGGTTGGCCTCGATGAAGTCGTTGTATTTGTCTAGAACACAGTGGAGCCTGGTTAGAGGGGTGGGGCGGCCCCTCCCCACACCCTTAGGGTGAGCAGCCCCAGCAGGCGAGGGGGCCACGGGAGGCCAGGGTCCTTGGGTCATGTTGCTCTTGTTTAGGGAGCGCTGGGGCCTTGTTCAGGTGATCGAGCCCATCACAGCTGCAGGTGTGTCCCTGACCGGTAGGCCTACGTGTGTCTGGGAAGAAATGAGACTCTGTGCCAGCGGTTCTCAACCGGTGGGTCACGACCCCTTTTGGAGTCGAACGACCCTTTCACAGGGTCACCCAATTTATAACAGTAGCAAAATGACAGTGATGAAGTAGCAACGAGAGTAATTTTATGGTTGGGGGGGGGGGTCACCGTCACATGAGGACCTGTGTGAGAGGGTCGCGGCATTAGGAAGGGTGAGAACCAATGCTCTATGTTGACTCTGGAAAAGAGGCTTCCGCCTCGTGCCCAGGATGCCAAGGTTCAGCAGATCAGAAGAGGGCCTCTCTGTCTCCAGACACCCACACATGCCAATGTCCAGGCGCCCTCAGCTCCCTCCACAAGTCCACAAGCCCAGCTCTAACACTTGCTAGCTGTGTGACCCAGGGCAAGTCATCTGACCTCTCTGAGCCTCGGGACCATCGTTTGTAAACATAAAAATTTTAAAAGTCCATAAACCCAAAACAAACCCGCTGCCATCAAGACAATTACAGCGATAGTCCCCCCATACACAGAGTCCACAGGAAGCTTAGAAAGGGAACTGGATGGAGTTTATTCTAACATCCACCCAGACCAGTAAGTACACAAGAATAGTCAAGGATTTTTTTTCCTAATGTGGCAAAATAGGCATCATTCCCCCTCCCCATTTCGACCATTTTTAAGTGTGCCGATGGATGGTCTCAGCTATGTTCACAGCATCGTAAGGCCACCACGAGTGTTTCCAAAAGCTGCTCATCCCTCCACCACCCCCGTTCCCCTTACCCCCCCCCCTGTGGTCCCCAATCAACTTTCTGAATTCACCTGCTCTAGGTAGTTCTTAAGGAGCCCTGGTGGTGTACGGGTTACTCATTGGGCTGCTAACTGCAAGGTCAGCAGTTCGAAATCACCAGCCGCTCCCCAAGAGAGCCAGTGACAGGGCGTTCGATTCCCATCAGGAGCGACAGTCCTGGGAACAGGCAGGGACGGAGCTACCCTGTCTGCAGGGTCTCTGGGAGCCGGCACCCACGATGGCAGTGGGTGTGGTTGGGGATGTTGGTTACCATGGTAGCGGTATTGTCACTGCTCACTCTTCTCTGCCTGGCTGACTGCACGCATCATCAGGGGTCAAGGTTCACTCGTGTGGGACCGTGGACTAGAACTTCATTCTTTTTTAGGGCGTCCCGGCAGTGCAGTGGCTAAAGCAATCAGTTGCCAGCCAAGAAGTTGGCAGTGGGAGCCCACCAGCCACCCCCAGGCAGAAAGGCTGGCAGAGCGCTTCCCTAGGGATCAGTAGGCTTGGACATCCTGGAGGGTGGTGCTCCTGGTCAGAATCAAGTTGGCAGCAGGGGGTTTGTTTGGGGGTCATGGAAGCATGGTTCTGGCTGACGGTCGGGGCTTCACCTCTCTGGAGGTGAATCCTGATCAGATAAATGATTTCCAAAGAGTTGGCGTTCTTTCTGTTTCTTTTTTTCTATCTTTTCACTTTCTTTTTTTGCCCAACGGTTTTATTGGCACGTATTTTATATATCATACAATCCCCTGGTTCAGTTGTCCAATCATATCAAGGAGAATTGTACAATCATTACCACATCAATTGTAGAGCACCCCCCCCATGGTTACATCACCTCTAAAATGAATTATGCAATCACAGTCTGTTCTAGTGCTCCCTCCCGCCCCCGTCTTTACTAGTTATTCCCGAAATCCCCTCTCCCCTCCCGCCTCCCAAGCCTGTATTCCCTACATCCCCTTGTATCCACTGTTACTACTAGGCATTCACTCTTGTGCTCCACAGCTGGGAGACGATAAAACACAGTCACACTAAGGAGGTAAGGATAAAAACATGCACAGACAGAAATGCAAATAATGCATCGGAGGGAAAAGGCCCCCACCAACATTTAAAATAGCCAGGGAAGAAATTTCTGTCATGAAACCGGTAAGAGATACTTGCGCCCAATATAAATTCAGGTCGCGTCTACAGGGTGGTCAACCGGCCAAGCATCGCGTTCGATCCAGTATCATCAGGATCACAGTGGTCGCTGCCTGAGAATGAAGCCCACGATGGCAAGAGAAGATCTGCCAGCGGCTCGGTCAGACTAGGTGCTCTGGACATGGCTCGTGGGCTCCCACCATCCCCCGTAGCCCTCCGAAAACTGGGGTTCATAATTCAGCTCTGATGTGCTTCTCCTCACCATATTCGTTTTTGGGATGGTCGTCGTTGGATGGCACAGGCCTCCTCCGTGTGGACTCGGTGGGCTCTCCCTCTGCTGCACAAGAGTCGTATTGTGATGGCGTGGAACGACCACTGTTGGCGTGCTCAGGCTTTGGGCGTCATAGCTACGTACAAGTCCCTCAAGACTGACGCCGAGGTTTCCTTCTAAGAGTCTTATAGTTTCAACTCTTATTTCTAGGTTGTTGATCCCATCTGAAGTGAATTTTCAAATGCGGTGTCAAGTAGGGAAACATTTTCGTTCTTCTGCACGTGGGGAGCCCGTTGTTCCAGTGCCATTTGTTGAGAGGACTGTTCTTTACCACGACAAAGGTTCTCGGCACCTTGGTGATAATACACATCTGCTGTGATGGGGTGAGGGTATTTCTGGCTCCACCATTCTGTCCCATTGCCACTCTCAGATTTAGCTGGTTAGTGTAGGTTTTTTTTTATAGGACATTCGGAAACCAAGAGGGGTGAGTCCTCCTACTTTGTCCTCCTTTGATCAAAATCATTTGGGCTATTAGGGTCCCTGGCAACTGTTTGAAGACTAGATTTTCCATTTCTGTAAAAAAAAAAAAAAGAAAAGAAAACCGGCGGCTGGAATTTTGACAAGACTGTGCCGTGTGTGTACCTGCGCACCACGTGGGTCGAAGTGGCACCTTAACAATCGTGTTTTCTCCTCCCACGAACAGAGACTGTCTTTCCGTGGTTTTCAGGGTCCCTTCCTTCCGTGTACAGATCTTTAACTCACATGAGTTCCAAGTATTTTAAACTTGTAGATCCTCATGTAAACGGCACTGTGGATTTCAGACGATTCAGACACGCACTGCTCTCTCTCTCTGAGTTGGTCTTGTCTCCTACAACCTGGCCGAACTTGCTTATCCGAGCGAGCAGCTTTCTTAATCATTTTACTGGGGGCTTGTACAACTCTTATCACCATCCATCCATCCATTGTGTCAAGCACATTTGTACATTTGTTGCCATCATCATTCTCAAAACATTTGCTTCTACTTGTGCCTTTGGTTTCTGCTTCTCATTTTTCCCTTCCCTCCTCCACCCTCCCTCTCGAGCCCTTGATAATTTATAAATTATTATTTTTTCATGTCTTACACTGACCGAAGTCTCCCTTCACCCACTTTTCTGTTGTCCATCCCCTGGGAGGGGGTTATATGTAGATCCTTGTGATCGGTTCCCCCTTTCTATGCCCCCCCTTCCCCTTCCCCTCCTGGTATTGCTACTTTCATTATTGGTCCTGAAGGGGTTTATCTGTCCTGGATTCCCTGTGTTTCCAGCTCTTGTCTGTACCCGTGTACATGGTCTGGTCTAGTCAGATTTGTAAGGTAGAATTGGGGTCATGATAGTGGGGGCGGGGGTGGTGGTGGAGCATTAAAGAACTAGAGGAAAATTGTATGTTTCATCGGTGCTATACGGCACCCTGACTGGCTTGTCTCCTCCCCGTGACCCTTCTGTAAAGGGATGTCCAGTTGCCTACAGATGGGCTTTGGGTCTCCACTCTGCACTCCCCTCATTCACAATGATATGATTTTTTGTTCCTTGATGCCTGCTACCTGATCCTATTGACACCTCAAGATCACACAGGCTCGTGTGCATCTTCCACGTGGGCTGTTTTTTCTCAGCTAGATGGCCGCGTGTTTATCTCTAGCAGCTTTCTTGTGGAATCTTCAGGATTTTCTCTACATACAACGATGTCACTTGTGGATATAGATCATTTTTACTTCTTGGCTGATTTGCACACCTTGTACTTGTTTTTCTGGCCAGAATGCCTGGTGTCAGTTTAGTTGGTAAGCAGGTAGACACCCTTGTGCTGATTTTAGGGGGAGGGGGATTTTCCGTCTTTCGTGTTGAGGCTAATGTTAGATGTGGGCTGTTTGTCCTTTACCATGTAGAGGAACGCCCTTCAGTCTCAGTCTGGCGTTTCTTACCATGAAATGTTATTGGATTTTACCACATGCTTTTTCTCAGCAGATTCAAGTGCTCGCGTTTTCCCCTTCCTTCTATTAACACCATGTGTTACATTGATTGATTGTCTTCTGTTGGGTTGCCCTTAAACTGCTGGAATAAACCCCTCATGGCCACCGTGTATAAGCCTCTTAATATTCGTTTGGATTCAGTTTAGTAGCATTTGGTTGAGCATTTGTGTATCAATATTCATATGGAATGTTGGCCTGCGATTTCATTTCTTGTGGTGTCTTTATCTGGCTCAAGAATGTTTTTTAAAGAAAGGAAGCTAAAGGAGGATTTGACTTATCAGAAAATGAAACATACTAAAGAGCGATCCTGACTAAAGAAGTGTGGCCCCAGTAGAGAAACAGACAAGCTGAACATCCATGAGGGCAGAAAGGAGGGAGCCAGACATGTTGACATTTACTATGTGATAAAGGCGGCACTTCCAGTCAGTGGGGAAGCCAACTGGTTATCCTCTCGGCTATTCCGATCAAGCATATCTCACCAATTTAATTAATTATGTACATTCAATGATAAATGTAAAATGATCTTTTAAAAACACTGAAAATTAAAAAGCAATAGCTTTACCCACAATGATAGCCCAGTTAAACAACAGCAACAAATGCTGTAG